GCGGACTAAAAGAGGAACAGAGGTTGAATGCATTGACGGTGAGATGGAATATAAAGTAAAGGACAACAGTTGGGGTTACGATCAAAGCCCTGCAGGCCAACTGTCAACATCATTGTCAGCTGTAAGAACCACGTACTCGTCGTACACTGGTTATAGCTGCCGCAGTTTCGTTCACCGATGATAAAAACTGAGGAAGTTTTCTTTAAACTAGAATAGCCCTTAATGAGCCTATGGTTTGCGTGGTGACTTACCTGACCATTGGGATGCAGGTAAGTTAGTACGGGGAAACGACCACGACTTCGAAAGCGGGCACTTGCATGTAACATCGCCCTTGATACGGTGGCCGGGACGGAAAGTACGGTTGGGTATGTATCACAAATCTACAGAGTATGGATGAAGGAAACGATTAGGTGTGGGAGGAGTTTAAATACATTATGGCAGCATGACGATGATGAGCTGGAAACCTGTAAGACTCAAACGATAGGCGACAATTTTTTGTTGAAGTGATGGGTCACTGAGTTTCTGTCTTTACCACAACAGTAATTTCGTGTCACATGAAAAGTGAGATTCCACAACAGAAACACTGGGACAACGGCCTTATACAAAAGTGCCGTTGGACAAAACAGTGTAGTTTGAGTACAAAATACTGATGGGTGGAGCGATTTCTTGCATTTCATTATCTTACTGTTACTACCACGTTCAAAATGTGTGGTCCTTGGGGCACTGGTGGCTGTTAGTGCAGTGAAGTCATCTCACCAAAGCCCCAAACGATTGTCCACTTGAAATGGCTAGTCCCAGTACACACGAAACGAACATTAAGACGTATTGGAACGGATTCGAACTGCCGAACTCCTAATATAAAAATAATCATTCAACTGTAACACCTTCCGGTGCCTAGCTGCCACGCACGAGAGTTGGGGTACAGCCAGGTTAAAAGATAAGATAACCAGTCAGCTGTAACACCCTTTCAGTGCCTAGCTGCCATGCCACGCGAAGGAAGCACAAGGGTTGGGATACTGCCAGGTTACCCAAGCCTAGACAGGGGAAGTCAAGAGGCAGAGGTCGGGCTCGAAACAAAGACCTTCCGGTCAGTAAATTCGCGCTCTAGCCACTTGAGTCATGTCGCCCGGTTACCCAAGCCTGGGCAGAAGCAATCGAGATTCCGGGGTTGGGTTCGTACTATGGACCTTTGGCAAGTTCGCGCTCTAACTACTGAGCTACCTCGAGCTCGATCGAACTCCTACTCACCAGACAGTGCTCTGCTAAGATAACGAGCTACGAATCAGCTGTGGGGTGTGGCGGAAAGCAAGCGTCCCCGTCAGTCTACAAAAAAAAACTATCTAACAAGCGGGAGGCCGGCGTCTCAAGATGCGTCTTTTTGTACATAAGATCTGCGCCTGAAGTTCTCACTTCAAGATCTACCAAAACCCTCCTACCTCAATCACCTGTTTTACGAATGGCAGTAGTGGATAAATAGCACAACTGTAACGGAGGATTAAGTATTCACTATCGACGCCGACAAGTCCACTCCAACGCGCTTCTCAGCTACAAGCCATCAGTGATACAGGTAACAAATTAGACCACATCTATAGCGGCCGCCCTCTAAAGGAGCAACTTTTGATTGGTTCCTGCAAAGCCTGCAATGGCACTCATGGAATGACTTTCTACATTTCCGGTAGCAACAGAAGCGAGACACTTGTCCCGAGTCATCGAGCGCGCTGTTTCTCCTTTACGATCAGAATGAACACAAACTTCCTACATATCACGGATAAGCGCTCATTTACGGCATTGTATATAGCGCCTTCATGCTGAATGCCGTGTTGTGGCAAAATGACCGATGACCCTAAAATCGTCCCATGTTGCTTACTTTATCGTGAATGCCTGTTGTAACTTGCTGTACAGTAGTGCAACTCTTTATCGATCCCTTGGCTTCCTGCATCGCCCACTATGATATATCAAAAGGCACGGTAGCTCTACACAGCCCTTTATGGAGACAAAGGAAAATCAGTACAACTGTATATATAGGGTAGTCACAGAGTGTTCCACAAGATCGTGCCAGAATCTCCGTGAGGGGGTGAGAAGCGTCGAGTCAAAGGTGCTTGACTTGGATTGGCTGACATTCTGACCAATCAGGGCATGCCTTCATTTGGCCCGTGTCCTGCACGTGACACATACGTCCAAATGATGTGCTGTTCGGTTATTAGGGACGGCTGGCCTCCGAACACCTCCCCCTTGAGAAGGCTGTTCAACCGACTGCTGCTTTGGACTCCACTGTGACGACTCAGGGAGTTGCTGTCGCATTTCAGTCCGTCGCCGGCGCTGTGTACATACCGAGCTGGGATATGGTACCCTCCATTTGGGAGGTGTGTCACGGCTGTCCGGTGTCTCATTCGATGTGGTCCCCTCACCGAGCCACAGTCTGTCTGAAGTTGGTTCACTTTCGCGGCTATGCTTATGATCTTACGTGTCTCTTGTTTGACATAGTCGACCCTGCGTCCACCGTGGAGAGCATTCCCCATATCTTCGAATCAGTGGCTGGTCTCTGCGTAACTGTTGTGGCACCTTTTCTGCCAGCCCCTCTTCCTTGACTTTCCGGATAGCAGTAGAACGATTCGCCTGAACCTGTGACTGTAAACTGAAGGGTTCAGACCGCGGATGAAACGTTGCAGGCTGCTGACAGGGTTCACCAAATTGCACTGAGGTGAGAGGGCTACCGGTGGTGAGTAGTCGCTATGTCGCCTATGCTCCATCTGGTCTCCGGTTTGGCTGTAACTGTGGCGACCACAAAATCATCAGGACGTGATGTTCTCGTGAACTTATTGGAGCCACTTGCAGTTGTTTCGTCACAAATGACATTGAGGGGTTCATCCAACAGTTGAAGCTCATTAATCCAATCCAGGCCCAAGAGATCAAGGCCAGTATAGTTCGTGAGGTAGCAAGTACCATTGAGTTGAATCCCCTTGAACAATACGGAACAGCTCAGCTTCCAAGCATATATTATGAGATGATCTGATCAAAGTCAGCACGTGAATAAAATCCGAAAAATATAAAACATCTAAACACTTACCAAGGGTGTTCAGTGACTGGGATAGGATTATGTGAACCTTAATCAGCATGAGATTTTACATCAGTTCACCTTTTAACCGATAGGTCAAGTGTTCCGTCGTTGTGGACCAAAGTGGACCGTATCAAATTGGTCCAATGGACTTAATTACTTATAGACTGCAAACTAAAAAACCACTGGCGATATTCTGTGGAAGACTCAGGAAAAACACAAACTTGTCTACCTACAAATGAGTGAGGTAGCTGGGGTTCAAAAATGGCACAGCTCTAAGGCGAACAGCAAGACCGATAGCCATAGTAAGCATACCTGGAAATCGCGATTAATATCTGTTAAGGTCCAGGCCGCATTTGGTAGTCCAAACCGTTCGAACTGAGTGCGCATGTCGAAAGTAGTCCAACCATCAGCACGATCCCAGTAACATCCAGGTGGGAGTAGGCGGAAGCATGGGAGCTCGGTGACGTGTTCTGGAACGACAGGTGAAGAAAACATAGGAATGGAGCGAAGAATCGCAAAAAAACTTAACACTATTCGAACAGAAGATGGTTCGGGTGAAGATTGATCTATCATCTTTGGCCTATCTTACAGGCATTTTGAGAGATAAAGTTCTAATTGCAAAGCCAGATCAACCTACGTAAAAAAGCTGAGGAGCTATTTCACCTGTCTTGTTAATCGTTGGCAACGCGCACCTCTTAAATTACGCAACAAATCACCTGAACAATATGTGGTATTCGGTGTGAGTCAAGTAGTCAAGAGGCCGGTGTCCAGCTGCAGCTTCCGAAACTCAGTTACTAAACTACACCATACCTAGTATCTAGTTCTTTCTATAACTGAAACAGGCCACTCTCGTAGGAGGCTCAAATAAACACGCCAACTACTACTTAGTCTGGTCTTAAACTTAATAGCACCGGCTTCCACATGTTCAGTGTTGTGCCAACATTCCTGAGCCAAAAAAGGAAACTAAATTGTGATGTTACCCCACAATAGCTACCGGAGTGTTCCAAAAAAGTCGATCGTTTTGCATTACGTGCGCTGGGTTGTTTTCAGGGTGAAAGTAGCTAGCGCACCAATCGTCATTGATGGATTGCCATGATCCAATGCACAACCTCCGACTATTGTCTCACTGTCATCTAACAAAGTTTCAATCCGGAAACTTCATTTGCGTAAAGATATCGATTGTGTTGATTCCGTGTGAAGCAAAGATGACCGGAGTGTACTTGCCCTAACTACTGACTGTGTCTATTTTCCAGAACGCCGTTTTTTCCTTCGACGCTCCACCACCCGCTCATCCCCTAGTGGTCACCTGTCCATCTTAGCATGCAGTTTCATATCTGCTCCGTTAATTTTCGAGACAAACCGACCGAGCCGATGACCGAACCTGAATCCTTTGGACAGCGGTTGCGAATGACACTCACTATACTAAGTCGATTATCCTAAAGGCCAACTTTCACTGAGACCTATTACTGCCTACCATTACTATGCCTTATCCTAACAGTACATTGGTGTTTCACTAAACTTGCCTAAGGGTACATTTTATTTTGATCTTACTGTACCTGTTTCTTTGTCATGCTATCGGTTGAAGACTTCAGAAAATTGTTCACAGTACAAGGTTCGGAGAGTTTAATCGAAATTTCGTCCTTTAAGTGAAGCCACTCATTGCTAAAAAGCTGAGAAGCACTGCACAGCCGTTTCACCCTCATTGAGAATCATCAGCAAACTACCGACAATCTATACGTAGCTCAGAGGAAGAATAAAATTCACCCGGAGTGAAATTTCCGTCTGATAAGTTCTCACCCGATAAGCCAGTCGACACGTGTGATCACCTGATGCGGATCCCATCACTGAGTGGAGCTATATCCTGTCTTAATATGAGTTAATTACTTTGCTGATCAGCCCCTACTGGCGTCAAAACTATTAGACGAGAGGTCGCGGATTTCAGACTCCCTTAAGTTTCATGAGATGCACACCGCTGATGATTCTCAATAAGGATGAAGCAGTTGTACAGCACTTCTCAGCTTTTCAACCTAGATTTGGTTCGCTCACTGGGCTGCATAAGTTTCCTTTTCTACACGAAATTACCTCCCGAACGTATTGACTGGCATTTGCTCCTTTATGCTTCTGTAGCGCTTAATTATATCGTTTGACTGTTCATGTCCGTACGTTTGTATATCGTTTGGCGATTACTTGCTGTTACTTCTAAGATGCTCTGCTGCTTCAATTTACCCTTTTCTGCACCTACCAACTGAGCTTTGCTGATCGTACATTGGTTATTTCATACTGTCTATTAATCCATCTGTTACTACAGTATCCTCTGCCCTCTTCCGCTTACTACTACTGTTTGTCCAAGTACCTGTAGTCAGATAGTTTCAAGTGTCATATAAAATCCTAAGCCACCGGGCCCCTAAGAGGGAAAACCAGTCTTTATCCTCCGGTCAAATAACACACCGAAACATCAAGAACTGTGACTGTGCGAAAGTGTGTTACCATACCACAGGAGCATCTCACGCAATGTGCTGTTTTAAACCTAAATATCACAGTGAACTGTGCCCAAGCCTAAGTGAACCCGTAAGATCACCGATACAAAAGCAAACAGTATCATTGGACCCGAGGATCCGAGTCAGTCAACACCGCATCCGACCAGGTTCAAGAAACAACGCCGCTATAGAACAAAAGTAAACGATACGAAACAAAGAGAGAATGGGGAATTTCGCATAAACCGGCCATGGAGCACAGAATTAAGGTCGACAAAAATAGTCCGTGGTACGCAAAGAGTGACCTGTCCACCGCAGAGGCTTCGGTGTCACCTAATCGTCAAAACCCGATCAATGCATGGCGCCGCTTGTTCATCAATCACTTACCTATGCTTCTGAGCTGCTGAACAGTTGTGTACACATCATGACAGTCACGCTCCCGTGGTATGACCAAATGTATGATGCGGAAATTCTTCCCTCGAATAACAAGTGGAGCACCGCCCGTGTTTAGTGGAAGACGTTCGACAGATGCAATAAGCCGAGTGTTGAGCTGCGAAGCATACAAACCCGACAGCAAGTCAACAAAATATAATAAGGGTGGACATAGGGTCAACAAAACTGAAGAGTTACCCGTCAAAATATACTAGGAGTCACAGCAATCTTCAGCCAAAGACTGCAAATTTATCTTCTATAAAGGTAAGAGAATGACGCCGAAAAGAGGTAGAATTTTCATGAATAAATCCACGGTTGTTCTACTTTCCGGAGAAACCAAACAAAAAAGTGGCCCTCTCTAGGCGGGTACATATCTTAACCAGTCCAGGACTTCTTTGCAATGTCCTTGGAGTTTGAGTAACATGACATGGAGAAGCATGCTTCGAGATGCACACCAATCAACTCCGATCTTCTTACTTTTTCCTTATTGAGTGGGGATCGTTGTCATCCAGTGACCGACGTTATAGGGTGAAAACGGTCAAAGGGTGTCTTCTGTGGTGTACACAGCATTCACACGGTAAAGTATTTTTTCCAAAGACATTGTAGATGGGATGGAAGAACGCACCGAAATCGAAATTCGGTCGCTGAAGCAGCTACCCACGATCGACGTTTATCCTCTTTCAGGCTCGCATATAACACTAATCAGCTCACCTCTAAGCCTCTTCATAGCGACACACTGGCGGTCACTCTAATCAGTGATATAACGTCTGCAACAAGGTTGCAAGCTCAACAAACAATTCTATCACCGACATCAGCCAGCTTAACCCACTAGCGAGTGAAGGAAGCCATCCCTTGTCTTAGCCCGTGATCACCTGTCTGTCTTCTCGTTGCACACAAATGGGCAAGTGAATCCCAAGAGAGCAATAAGCAGTATAACCTAGGTGTGATGATAGTTCTATGAGGTCGATAGACACAGTGTATCTGTGCCCATAAATCCAAAAGTAAAGACTAAGCCTTACTCATATTTCTGTAGCATAAACAATAAACAATAAACAATATCCAAATTGCTCGCTTCCACATACAGGTCAAAAGTAATGCACTGAGCTTACTTACCCATACTTCCTGCTTTCTGGAGACTCCAACAAAGAAAATATGGGTCAGTGTTAAATGGAGAGTTCCTCGCACATGGACTTTACCATCAAAAGGGTCCAAATAGAACACATCGTTAACCTGGGAAAGCAAATAAATACGTCGTGACAATTCAAATATTTAAGATATCGCAATGAAACACTCGGAACAGAAAAAAGGAAGGACGGGGGTTTGCAAGTGGAATACCAGTTAGCGCACAAATATTTTTCGGTGCACGAAAGCCATGAATTTACAAGGGGTGGACTCCATCTAACCTCAAAAAGAGAGGACGTCTGTAAAGAAAATGGGCGTTAAAAACGATCGATCCGGATAAACGTGAGTTGCATAGAAGAGGGAGCTGGGAGCAAAATGGAATCCCACATTTAAGCCCCTCTAAAAAAGCCTAGGGGAAAGGAGTACGATCAGCAAACAGGATGACCATTTGGAATCAATGACCAACTTTGTGGTGATAAGACAAACAATAGAGGCGGAAGTATATAGGTATGGCGCAGCTGAGTTGTGGAGCACACCAAACGTACCAGGGCGTAGAAGTCAAGTTTCGGGCCCCCTGTCCCTGGTCTCAGGCGCAAAATTCTGAATCACGGGGTAGTGGTTAATGGCTTTTTCTTGAAGGACCTTTTTTCGGGTCAATGATTCAAATCTACACTGCTTGATTTTAGGGAGCTTACGGAGGACCCGGGGGTAAGGCATAAATGTCTAACCGCTAATGAGGCTTCTCGCAGCATGTTTATGAGCAGCAACGGAATCTTTGGTTTTGAAAGTATTTCGACCATATTAAGTAATGGGCTGGCAGTCATGGTCAACCGTTTGGCGATCGGAGAGTGCGGTTTTTAAGGTCGATTTTTTCTAACCCCTCCTTTCATGGGGGACAGCAGCACTGTTGTTCCGATATAGATGGGTATGCTGGTNAACCCAAGGTCACTTTGTAATACGACCTCTCACAATACGGTAACTCGCTGTTCTTCGTTCTTCACAATAGAGCGATCAAACAAATTATAGTTGTATGGCATATAAGCACCAGTAATGATGATATATTCTGATGATATACTGATGATATACTCTCGATGATGATTATAACTACCTTGTGAAACTCACAGGTGGCTAGCTGATCGTTGCCAATTTATCGTGCCTGCTTAGGCCCCAAACGACCGTAACCCTGACACCATCAGAAAAAACGTCTCCGACAAAAAGGATGTCCTGGTAGGGTGGGCCGAAAGCTCAGATACCGTTGTGAGATCTGGATATCTTAATGAACAAGTGGATGTATTTAGCGCATGTGAAACTGTTGGGTGAGTAAGTTGGATTGGACTCGGCGCGCACAGACAACGCCAAAAGACTGCTCCAGCTGTTTGCTGACCGCAGACTGTTTTTATGCTGCATCAACTTTCGAAATAACCAAAGTCGTCCAGCGACATGATGCCCTCCGACAGCGTGCTGGCCACGGACCCAAATTTATCACATCACCAACAGTTACCGATGACGCAGATTGATACCTGACTTCCCCTCATTTTGGAATATGTGAGTGGATTCTGATCATGCACTCGTCTGGTATAGCTTCTCTCTTTGCCTTCCAGGGCCGTGTAAAGGACGGAAAAGTGACTTAGCAACTGAGACACTAGCAAATCCATAAGTTAAACAAGCTAACTGTTAAGAACTGTCTTCTGAACTGTCTGTCTTCTGCAGTCATCCACTGTCGGATGCCAACCCTCACAGAAACAAGACTGCCACATCCTTGACAATGTCCGGAGCTTCGCCTGTGGCAAGGCACCACCAGGTCTTTTCAAACACTGTACATCACCGGGAACAGTGGCACTGCCTCAGTCTTGAAATGTTTCCACTGAAAATAAAACAGCTGTAACACTTTCGGTGCCTAGCTGCACGAGGGCTGGGATGCCGCCAGGTTGCCCAAGCCTAGACAGTGGAAGTCGAGAGGCAGAGGCGGGGTTCGGACCGCGGACCTTCCAGTCAGTAAATCCACGCCCTAACCACTGAGCCCTTCAGCTTAACGAATTGTCAGGTGTCAAACGCGCCTCAGAATGAGCAACGACCGTGAAGCTAGGTGGACAGGGAGGGTCAAAGAAAAGGAAGCGGCCAATGATACTTGGATTGTCCGGAAATTACCTCGATTGCTGTGTGCGACCAAGCCCTGTAAACCACCAGTTGAGTGAAGTGATAAAGGATTTAAATGGGGCGGCCATCTTATATAGAAAGATCCCTGACCGCTGTGCTGGGCATTTCGAACGATAATTATCGTGGCCACCTGCTGCTTCTCAGTCGGATTGTCAAACTGCACTAGAACCATAGACCTGCAACGACCTGTGATCTCGAAAGTTCATTACTGCATATGTTCTCTCAAGCGCCACTGAGCTCGTGGTTCGGATGACCTTCCATCAGCATATCTCAAAATTGGGAGTGAAGTCCTCTTTGTCTGATTTGTTACCATTCATCTGGGAAAAGAGAACTGGAAAGAATAGGCGACAATGCTCATTTTCATAAAGAGTGCAGCAATGATTGCGCTAAACAAGGAGGGGCCTGCTTGACTACAGTAGTGCCAAGACTTTTAGCGTCACTGGTCCTTCATCGCCTTATGGTGGCCGGGGAAGCATTGAGTCGAGAGCGGTAAGTGGGATTCCGCGGGGCTGCGCTTCCCATCGCAAGACTGGATAAGCTCGAACTCTGACCTCATGCTTGCGGATGAGCCCCTTGAGGTGGTAGACACATTTGTCTACCTTGGCAGCCGCACTAGTCCTGATGGCTTCCCCAAAGATGTTACTCCCATCCGGATCAGGAAGGCTAAAGCAGCTTTCGTGAACCTGCATCACCTGTGACGTAGGCGTGGCATCGTTTTATCCGTCGGGGGTCGTGTTTACAATACTTTGGTGCGCTCCACATTGGCCTACGGGGCAGAAACCTGGTCGGCGCAGGCTCAAAATGTCAAAAGCTTTCTTTACTTGAGCATCCATGTCTTTGGAGCATTACCCAAGTCTAGTGAGAACAACAGAACAGTTATGCTGAAGTACGTCGAATGGCTTTCGAAAGAAATAGCTAACCCACAACAGATCACACTCCGTAAGTTTTGCTGATTTGGTCGCGTGCTTCGCACGCCAGTTGATCAACTTCCTCGAAGTGCTTTCCGCACAACCAGGCAGGAACAAGCTAGGGAATGTCAGGAAATGGCTTGGCGACAAAGTATGAGGGCCATTACCAGTAAACTCTCCCTGGATGGGGACCCCGAGACAAGACACATATTTCGAGACACTGACGCGGTCCAGTGACGCGCATGCATCTAAGCTATGTTGCTTTCAATACATTCCTAAGCTCCCAGTCCCCACAACGAAAGGTCCACTGACACCCCTGTATTTACGCATCGATTATATCTGCTACCGGCTCGATTGCGCAGCTATCAACCCCATCCTAGCTCCTAACTACCGGTGAACGAAAATGCGGCAGCTAGAATCATTGCACGGCAAGTACGCAGTTTTCACAGCTCGTGATGATTGACAATGATGATGCTGATCATGATCATCATGACGTTTCCCGCTATTCCCAAGTTCAGTTTGGTTGCTTCATACATCAGCTCAGGCTTTCCAGTACGCTGTATTCTTAGACAATTAATCTGACTAGAAGATTCTAGTCCCATAGATGATATGCGTGCGTAAAGCAAATCCTCTTGTTTTCTTCTACCAGTACCAAGTGTGTTCCTAGGAGTGCAAGACCAGTGGAAAACCAGTGAAGTTCACAAGCATGATGCACAGGGTAAATATTTTAACCACTTAAATGCACCACACCGTAAACAATCTACTTTGACCTCTGTCCTGCACCGTCACACTGGATTACATGTGCGAAGAAGTTCCTGCTCTCCGTTTCAGTGATATGTAGACACTATTAATGCGCCTTGTGGATATGATTCGAAGGGCTGCGATCCAAAAACGATTTATGCCAGATAGTCGGAACGAACGAAAATGGAAGAAGCGCCTTTCTGGGTGAAGTCGGCAGGTTTCTCTCAATTCAAAATGCTTTGCCTTAGAATCTGCACCAAATTCTCTATGGCCTCCTACTTGCATAAACTCCCTTGAGATAATCAACCGGTAGTTAACTTACCCTTGTTTGAATGCACCAAGAAAGCCTTGGTAGGCCTTCTGATGCTCTCCTCCAAAAATCAAAGGACAGGTCACCAGTGGATTAAATTCGTGGGGGCTTTTTCTATATGTCCTTAGGGCTTATTCGATCTGACAGAATACACATATGTGATGGGGGCAGTTCAGCTGCTTCAAGGTATGCACACGGAGTTAGCAATGGAAAAAGTTGAGTCGACAGCATTTGTGGTAGGACTCCATGTGTTGCTCTCTCAGGTAGATAGTGTGAAAGGAACAACGGTGGAATACCACATCGACGGCCAGATACCATGGACTAAGGTCGCCTAAGTTGTCCGTGGGGGGCTTGTAAGGCATGACGGGCACAGAAACGTAAACGCAGAGACTCACCTGCGTCAGACGAAGGCGATCCATGGGCCTTCGCGAGCAGCCATTCAGGTGCTCGTTCCTGATTGGTTGAATGTTTTCATACGTCGAGGGCTGCGCGTATTCAAATACTTGTTTTATTTCAAGGTTTTCACGGGCGTCGCGAGAAAAGTAAATCTCCTTTTAGATAACCCTAGCTCCCAATCCAATAAAAATGACATTGTGGCTTCACGTTCGAAGATGGCTCCGATCCCCCCATTCGAGATTTCCATGACTTCGCTGGTGGCTACTGGGGTTAACCATTTATCAGTGCATTTACTTTGCAAAAAAGCCAAACATTCCAAAAAGCAGTCCCACCTTCACTAGAACAGCCTGAAATGGTGCCACATTTTGTGTGTAAACATCCTGATCTGGGTCCACTCTTAGACTGTCCTTCCAGGATTCATCACGAAGATCCAAGCAACCGCGGTGGACAAGTTGAAGACAAAATGGTAGCTAGTGAATCACAGTCTAACTCGCGCCCGGATCGGTCACGTCGGAACCGCAGTGGCCTTTCTGAGATTCAGCATGACTCCCTGTTAAGCTGGTTCCATGCACCCTTCAGCGCGATTTCAACGTTGGTACCCCTACCACAAAATCCCAGTCTCTCACCTCCTCCATATGCCCGAATCGGATTGTGGATCGGATGGTAATAGTCACGCTCCACGCATCTCACAAGACACTAAAGGTGGTGCACCTCAATCATCGACTCACTCTCAGTCCAGATACTATACCCATGTCAAGGCACATGATAGCCTTCAGAGATCCAAGCAGTATGTATAACGGGTGCTGTATGTATGTGCTCACCTAGAAAACCAAAGGCTTGTTGGACTCAGAATCCGATGGTATTTGGAGGGTATGAAAATGCTGATCTCATCGTTTACAGTGTATGGAGGAAGGAAACTTGAACAAACCATGGGTACGTCTAAAGATAAGGGTATAAGCAAACAAAAGCCATACTAAGTGCGAGTTTATATGCATAAATACTGCATGATGGTATCTAAAAGCAATGCAGTTTGCTAGTAAGGCGTTCAGTTTTGTGAAGGACCCGAGGTGGATGACAGAATCTATCAGGAATAATTACAGCAAATACAGCAAATGAAGGTCTCAATCGATCGCTTGTTTGAGACCCTGAGACAAGAAGGCGAAAAGGTAGATTCTAGGGGTTTAGTCTAAGATAAGATCACCACGTGGTTGAGATTTGTGAGAAACGTGAGCATAGTATGGTTTGAAAGAGACGGTGGCTGTAACCAAGTAAGCTTTGGGGGGCAATGATACTTAAGGAAGATTAGGTTGAGGTGAGACAACTGCCCCGGTTGGGATAAACTTTAGAGGGGGCAGTGATTTTGTGACCAACTACTGGAAGTTTGCATCTTATTCTGATTGCGCTTCAGTAAGGAATACAACAGAGATAGCAGCGTGCCAGAATGAATTGAATGAAGGAGGGGTCGGGGGTCGATTCTTGCATTGGCCTACTGAGAGGACACGCGATTGATGAACCCTTATATTCGATGAATATTTTAAAATGGGGAGGAAACATCTAGAAAAAGGTTTTGGGTGTGATATAGACACCAAGGCACTTGTAGTGGCTAGCAGTGGGTAAAGAGTTTGTCAAAACGACGAAGCCAGTGAGGCATGACGGCTGTTCAGTTTTCAAGCAAATATGGGCTTCGCAAACGTTCGATAAACGTGGTCGTTCTGAGAACAGGTGAAACTTTTGTAGGTCTCTGGGCCATACTTTCAGCAAGCAGGAAACCATTCGAGGTCCGAGGGGGGAAGGTAGAAACATTTTAAATAAAATAATGAATACCATATGCCCAATGGATGAGCTATCGAGGGCACCACTGGTACCGTGGAAACTGGAGGGAACAGCTCCACAGGCCCCGATCGCTGAGTGCCGATGGATCACGAATGAGGCTACCAACGGGGAGTCAGATCCAGGAACGCCAAAGCTCTCCAAGCGACTCACAATTATTTCATTCGGTATCAGTTATATAACCTCTGAGAAGTCAAATAAAATGTAGCCTATCGCTTGTTCGTCTGCAGAAATGAAGGAGACGTCGGCGAAAGTTAGTTTGGATTGACTGAGTGTGGTCTGACGGGAAGGGCATCATGTTTAGAAGAATGTAGAACATAGTGCAGTTTGCACTTCTTCAGCGGTGGCAACAAGCGCTAGCGCCCATAGGTTTTTTCGCCAGGCACCACTTGTTGATTGAAGCTGATGGTGGGGCTCCGGAAACCAGTGGCCTTTTCTCTTAGATTCGCTACCCATCACAAACCACAGTACTGTCCAACTCACGAAGCAAATTACACTAAACTAGCCGATTAGTCGGGAAGTTATATCTCAATCAGTCCTGATATCTTTGCTCCCCTCACCAATATGCATATGTAATACAACTGCATTATCTTGGGAGCTTAACTAGCATTTGACTGCTGGGCTACTGAGAATAAATCCACCCATATCTTACTCCATTTCATTCTAATAATGAACCTGATCCTGTCTGGTATCCCTTTTAACCCCAAGGCCTGACCGATCACATGCCAGTATTACCCTTATAGATCTTAAACCTTCGGTAGTAGCTGCTTTCAATGACCCGTATGGCGACCACTCATACATTCCGGCTAATCCCCGGTTTACACGCATATGGTCGCCCGACTAGAACAAAAGTACCCGCGACTCTGCATCGGTCTGTCTGTGTGTGTCAACCCTCTTGTCTGAGCCAGAATCAGAGGCCACGGGGATGTGTGCCCCTTCGTCCGATTGTCGCAAGCTTGACTTCCGTTACGGAACGACCCAGAAACCGAAGCATGTCAGCCCAATGATGACACGGCAATGGCACACTTTGTTTGATGGCAAGCCCGTAACTATTTTCTTCCTATCCTCGACCGTCACATCCCGCCCACTCAGGCCTGTAATCGCAGCTGCTAACAAACCGTTCAGTCGGCTCCAGCCGCCCCTAGGGATAGTTTGTTCGAACACGCGAACGTTCCTATTGGGAACAATCATCCCGGCTTTTCGCTGCGATCTCAGTATGTCTTTCCACAAGTTCAGCACCTTTGATAGTAATGATAAAATGAGGTTATCTCCCAGCTTATAGGAACATGCAGATTGAGGTCTGGTCGTTCTATTGGGAACAATCATCCCGGCTTTTCGCTGCGATCTCAGTATGTCTTTCCACAAGTTCAGCACCTTTGATAGTAATGATAAAATGAGGTTATCTCCCAGCTTATAGGAACATGCAGATTGAGGCATGATCTGGTCGTTACCTTAACGCAGTGGCCAGCAACAGAACAGGGAGAAAGGTACGACCAACGGCACATGTGTATTAAATGAAAGGTCACCACAGTTGTGTGAACCGAAAAAACTTGGACAATGGGCGCGAGGTACGACTAGTTGCAGCCGGCTGACATGCACTGAAACTGAACACCACTCCTGAACGTGAATGACCTTGGGTGGTTAACTAAATGATAAAGGTCACAATACGCAAAAGTGGGAATACAGAAGGAAGAATTTGAAGTAGAGACAAACGGCAAGTTTTGTTTCAAAAATATGGTTTATGTTGAAATAAAGTAGTCACTGGTGTCACATTTGTGGGAAAGTCAGGCGTGAGGGATAGTTTTGAAGGGGAGATAATGCCGATGCCTAGGGCCAAATGAGCACCGTAAATGACAGTGGACTTTTGTTAGAAGCAAACCGAAATCGCAGTAGGAAACCAGATAAGTAAAATACGAACGAAACGTTCAGCGAGTTAATACGAGCTTGTCCCAGAAGCTGATGAGGTCAGGTGAAAAATTTGCTAGTAGTTGCAATTCCAGGTGTGATTGGTCGAGGGTTTGCGGTCAAGATTTTGGGAACAGTAGTTACGGGACTTCCCTGTGACCAAGTATGGCAGTGCCCTGCCATCACAGCACCGACATACTTCGGTTTCTGGACAGCCCCGCCACAGTCGTCAGGGATGCCGCAGTCACAGAAGGGATACGCATTTCCGTGGTAGCTGTACATTGGTTAGGCGACGGGATTGGCACTGATAGAGGCAAGCGGATGCAGAGTCACGGACTTTCCAATCACTAGAAGAACCACATATGTAGAGGACCGGAACAGGCTGGGTTGAATGAACAACGGTCTAACGGGGCGTTTGGGCAACTACAACCAAAGTTTAAAGCTTAAGAAAAGGAGAGCCGTTAAGGAATAGGATGAGTGCACTGGTGTACTGTGAGTGTCAAGAGGTATCAGATAAAGCGGTATCCAACAGAAAAAATATAAAAGCGGATGACAGCAAGCTGAAATGAACCAGGAAAGGTGTTTTTTCTGCTTGCCTGGTAACCAAGTAGTAGCCGGGCCAGATTAGGTGCCTAATTTTTGGAAGGAAAGGACTTGGTGCAGAGGTAGCTAAGCGGGAAGCAAGCCGTTGGCCTAGTGGGAACAGGCGATTGCATGGTGAGATTACATGGCGGTAGATTTAGCCGAGTAAGAAATCCAATCGTGGGGTCTATGATTTGTGAAAGTGAGGTTAATATGGACAAGGACAGTAGAAGAAGAATAATCGGTTGGTAGGCAGTACCTGAGATAATGGATAAGAGCCGTAGTGAAGCTGGAATCTACTGCATCAACTTAACAGGAAGGCTAGTGTATGGATACATGTCACAGGTTCACTGCTACCAGCTCCAAGAAACGAACGGTGCATCACAAAATCACCTACTGGGCATTAGCTGTGACTGCTGGTAAACGGAAAATCATAAGGAAATTACGTTTCATGTGTATACGGTTGCTTCAGAGAACGAGATGGAAGATGATGGATGGATGTGAATTATATCTGGATGATGAAGCGGACTTGGGGTTGTGCTTCCGAGCCAAGACGAAGATGGCAACTCCTGGCGCTTCAATTTTTGCCGTGAACCTTGCACAGTACATCAAGCAAAAGGAGAGCTGTCATTCAGTTGCATTCCTTGGTGTTGTCAAAAAAGTGACAACCGGATTAATCCAATCCGGCTACAGACAAACAACAACGGTGCTCCTGCATTAAAGGCCAGGGTCAGAACTACCTGTGATAAGCGATTCAACCGTACTACTGAGGGATGGCGGGTAAAAGAACACACCACAGTGCAACCACACAAGGCGACTCTTTCTTCAGGGCGTACCAGAACACCGCACGGGGTTTTCATCTCTCGTACACACTGCCAGATCTTCAGGGTAATAAGCCACCAAGCGGTCATAATTGATGTTTGTGCATTAATAAATAACTCCGGCTAACCGATATTTAATCCGGTCAGGCGAAAAGCCACGGCGCTGAAACAGCTTAGTCATTCCGAGCAAACAAACAGCAAACAGCCACTGGAATAGGCAAATCGTGGGGGCAGATGATACGGCAGCTAACTTTCGGGCCATGGGACTAGAACGGAGATGTGCAGAGCCTTGTACAATTGCTAAACGACGACGAAACACTGGTGTAACCCACCACGTCAGGTAGAGGTGCACCACCATGCGAGATGTATGTGTGAAAAAACTAAGAATTAGTCTGCTGGGGCAGAATCGGGGGGCCGGGGGTGAGGAAATGCAACAAAAAGGCGGTTGGGATGGCATGAAACAATTATGGTGGCGGGCGCTAGACAGTGCAACACAAATACGCCTCAGGAGCTGAACTTCTGCATAAGAGATGGATACGATAAGGATTTATGGAGAATAACACTTGAAAGTGTGGTCGTCTCACATGTGGGTTAATGCTAGAGGGTTGAGGCTGGTGAGTGTACATTCTTCGACCAAGTAACAAGAGAGTTGGCGTGACAGCGCAAATTGGAAGGGTCTAAGATCTATTTTAAACATATTGCCTAGTTTAGGCTCGGTTCCCTTCATAGAGCTGATGGTCTTTCGAAAGACTAAATGAGACGATGTAGTATAGATATGGGAGGGGGGCTTGTTCCATAGTTCGAAATAGAGGCGAACGAAAAAGTTTTGTCTAAAGACAGCTCAACAGGTACACGACGGAGCGGAAAACAGATTTGCGGATACTGTAGGGAGGGCAGGAAGAAAATTCAGGACGGGAGTCAGCTATGCTAACCCATCGGTAGATTAGGCGATGCAGAAGGCCTAGGTTCAACCGAATGCGCCCCAGCCATTAAACATTCAACCAAGTGAAAAAAGCGAAGACGATATGGCAACGTGGATGGAGCCGGAAACAAGACCTTAGTAAGCGAGCGCTGTACGATCTCCACAAGAGACCGGCATGCCTGCCAATACTGTGAGGTGAATTCAGGACTGCAATGGGTACTACAAACTGCTTAAAGATGACAATTATGGTAGAATGATTGGCAAATGAAAGTAGAGAGTTTGTGTGCTTTAACCACTCTATACCATGCATGTTGGTTAAACCCAGGCCCACAGAAATATCTTAAACCTAGGTATCCTACTTCAGAAAGAGTAGGAATCAAGGGTCCATCAAGAATAAGCATGCCAGGGGAATTCGGGGATCGACTCAAGAGGGCCTGACATTCTGGAACGGCGAAAGAAAGACAGGAGTTGGAGGATCAGAGGCAAAAAGTCAGATCAAACTGAATGTTAGCAAGAGTAGGAACAGAGTCACTTACCTTAAACGTGTGAGCTATCTCAAAATCATCAGTGAACAGAAAATTGGACCTGTGGGTGATCAAACCAGTGACATTATTAATGCATATTAATGACTATAGAGGGGCCGACCACACTACCCCGAATAACCTCGCTGGTGATTGGAAGAGGCGGTGGGGAGAAATCCTCAATCTTGATGACCTGGGCTCTCCCAGTGAGGTGTTCGCTTGACTCTATGCATTTCACCATCTCCCCATCGGAAATGTCCTTTTCAACTGACTTCCATATAACAGCGACACCAGTGAGTCTGTCCAGTCCCAATGCAAACCGTACTTTTGAGACAACTTGCCATATGTTTCCACTGCCTCCATTTTAACTTTCTGTGCTCCTGACCGTTGACCCAACCGCCCTACGCCAATCACGGCCAGCAACGGTTTTTTAGTTTAAGTCAACCGGCTTCGTTGTTGAACTGGTCGTGCTTCATGGTCCGTCATTCTAGTTTTTCGGTTCCGAAACCCGATGACTTTTCACGTGATCAGCGTGCCTCTTTTGTTCGACCTTCCTCTAAGTTGTGTTTTCCCGCCGCGTTTAGGTTGTTACAACCCGGTCACGCCTTTATTTGCATGCTCTCACAGGCAGAGAGATAAAGCAGTTATTATTGTTAATAATCCGTCTGCGATGAACGTGCACTTTATACCGTCTTATCGATTTATGATACCTCTCACTTCCTGTGGGCATCGCGCCTGCTCAAAACTGTCCCATATGAAGTCGTGCTTTATTCAGATTAGAGAAGTGGGGTTGTGGTTGATCGGCACTGGTTTGACCTTAGATTACTCCCTAGAGTGCATTTCACGCCGCCAGGTGGCATTTATTCTGTATTTCCGCACCCCGTAGTCCTCCAGTCTCAGCTGTGGCCACTGTCTGCTGGTGTTCCAGCACATGGGACAGAGACTGCTCCGTTCACCTCCTAGCACCGCGAACTTCGGTACATTCCTTGGCATAAATCGATAGGCCCCAGTCTAGTATACCGCTCTATCGGGGTTGTGACGAAGATCTCCCAGGATGTTTTGGTTGCAGGATGGCTTCAACAGTCAACACAAACTGAAGATTTCCTTCCAAGCCAGCTTGGCAGATGGCTGCTTCTGAGCGGAATAGTCTGGACCCTTACAAAACCATATCGTTTGCTGCAAAAGTGCGTCATAACCTGTCGCGAAAACGAAACCTGAGATGACTGTCCTCGCAGTTATTCATCTGATCAATAATGCTACACGCCTCTGGCTTTGCGATCAGAAACCGATGGATGACTAAACTGAAGGCCGGTTGGAAGACAAGACTGGGACGCGCCCATACCACCTGCAGCTGACTAGCCCACTTCCAGCCATATTGCTCCGAAGGCTAATTGGACCGTAATCTGAACACATGGTGCTTTATAAATCGGCACAAACTGGCGTTATTGAGTAAGACAAGGATACCCAAGGTGTATTCAAATATAAGAAAACACCATCCGTCACTTTGTGTTTCCAGGTGAACCATCGAATCTTGTGGCCACCGGCTGAGCCCGCGATATCGGAGGTATGTGGCATGAGCCGGGTCTTTGCAAGAACAATTGTGAATGAGTGTTCAACACAACCTGGCTGCTGAACATGGTAAGGCCTATTGATAAAAATGAAAAAGCACGCGAAAAATCATTTCAACACTGTCCCTGATGAATCCGGGGTAGGAGAGTTTGAGGATGCTAGTCAGCCAAGACATTAGCAGGGGTGTCAGATGAACACTGTCTTCCGTCCTAGGGTTCAGAAGAGGTGTTTACGCCACATTCATTTGCTTCCTGCCTTGCTAAGTCCAATGCCCATTGATCATCTGTGAGGTTCCTCTTGTCAACCACTGGGTTGGTTCAACTGAACCTCTTGTTTCTGTGGTTTCATTTCACCTCTTCGTGGACGATAAGGTGTGTAAAAATCCTCTTCGAAGTTACCCATGGATCTTTTACACACCGCATTCAAACTGCCGTACAAGAAGAGCCAACTACCCAACCAGATGAGCCTGACCTCGTCAACCCCCGTTATATTATTCCCTTGTTTATTTGCCATCATTACCATTGTTGTGACGGTTAGACATAAACTAGCTGCCCACCAGAAACATCAGGTAAGGTCTGCTTCTTTGACCCTATTTTAGCCCTTCCTTCGACCTGTGGTTCAGTGCTGGAGTCATGCTGAACCCAGCCTACGAACCCCCGTTTTCCTACCAGGAACAGCCTGTGAAAAGCATACAGTTGAACTGAATATCCAGCGGGCGCGTTCGTTTGAACTTGTGGCGCGCAGAATTCCGACCATGGCAACGATGCCTGCGTTTATGCCCGGGAAAGCCCAAGGGACTTTGGCCTTTGATGAGTTTGGTCGACCATTCATTATATTCAAAGACCAAGAGAAGAAAAAGCGCTTGACTGGAATTGCTGCACATAAGGTAACGCTTTTGACTGACTAACATGTCTTTAGTCGCATATACTTGCAGCAAAGTCTGTCGCAGGCACATTGCGCACATCTTTGGGTCCGAAGGGCCTAGACAAGCTTCTTGTCAGTCCAGATGGGGATATCACGGTTACGAACGACGGTCGTACGATTCTAGACAAAATGGATGTCGAACATGAAATCGCAAAGTTACTTGTCCAGCTTAGCAGGTCCCAGGACGACGAAATAGGTGATGGCACCACGGGTGTCGTCGTCTTGGCGGGTTCACTTCTTGAGCAGGCTGAACAGCTTCTCGACCGCGGGATTCACCCCATTAAAATTGCAGACGGATATGAGTTAGCAGCGAAACGATGCCTCAGTATCTTAGACGAAATAAGCGACCACTTTGACTTCTCGATTGAAAACAAAGAACCCCTAATAAAAACCGCCATGACTGCCCTTGGATCGAAAATGTGAGTGGTTTTTACCCTCATTATATTGTTTCAGTGTCAATCGATGTCAACGACAATTTGCTGAGATAGCCGTGGATGCTGTTCTCGCTGTGGCGGATCTGGAGAGGCGTGATGTAGATTTTGAGCTTATCAAGGTGGAAGGGAAAGTTGGTGGACGATTAGAAGAATCGATTCTTGTCAAGGGAGTCATCATAGACAAGGACTTTTCACATCCGCAAATGCCCAGGATTGTCAAAGACGCTCGCCTTGCAATATTGACGTGCCCCTTCGAACCACCTAAGCCGAAAACTAAACACAACCTGTATGTTGGTAGCGTGGAAGACTACAATAAATTAAAGGAATACGAACAGAAAAAATTCCAAGAAATGGTTAAAATGTGAGTTCTGAATTCAAGTCTGTCACCTTGTGAGCTCCATTTGCGTTACTTTTGAGTTATTCAGCATAGTATTCATTATTGGTATTAAACTGGCAAAACTGCCTTCAGGGCGCATCTTGAGGCGAGGTACTAATTACCTGCGTAGCCTGTAAAAAGGTTTTCAGCAATCCATACGAACGTTCGAATTACAGTTTCAGGTGGCTGTCACGTACGAGTCATACCAGGTTTGTGGAGGACAAGAGCTTTCTGATCATCTAGGTTGAAAGTTGAAAAGTGGCCTTCTCAAACCTGTGCTACTGTGGTAAGTTTGCAGCATTCTGCCACCGCTTTGCGGTCAGACTTCTGAGCCAAAGGACTTGGTAGAGCTTCTCGTCACCGTTATGCCATGTGTTGGCGCTAAGACTTTAATTTTCAACGTAGAACTTGTAGGACAGGCTGTCCGTGTTCGTACTGTGGATCCCCCTCTGCGTTGACGTCAGGAACGAGGAGCTAGAAACAAGTACTGTGTTCTGACTGAGTGCCCTATCACTTGTCCCGTTTCCGGATGCACAGCTGTGGTGGCGCCGGTGTCGCCTTGGTTTTACATGCCTTGAGCTGTCTTCGCTTAACATCCGTTGACAGTGGCCTCTGTTCGTGGGTCGAAAGATCCATCACACATTTGACAGTCTTAAATCTTCCAAAGACTATGTGACTCTAAGTACACTTTGAGTTAGGGGCTAAGACGCGGTTGTAATAATTGCAGAAATGAGCAATGCTTAGGCTCAATTCAATTGAGCGTAGACAGCGAGAACCCCTGTCTCAGATGTTTGCGAACCATATACCTTGTAACGCGTAGTTCAAGAGTAGCAGAAATCGTTTGGCTGCATATTTTCTTTAACTATCCAACCCTGGACCTAAGTAGACCACACTACCATCAGATTTCGATAATGAACGATCACTTACTCTTATCCTGTACCTTTTTCTGCAGCTTTTTATCGCTGCCTTTACGGAAAATGCGTACATCCATCTTGGCCACGAAACGCCCATGAAACCCAAAAACCCAAATTTATCAGAGCCGCCTACACTTTCTGTCGGTTGGCAATAAATAGCATGTTATGTGTCACTCAAACGCTATACCCGAAGCTGTAGCAATTCCGAAAATTCAGAAGGGAGGTCCGGCCACACTCGTTCAAGGATTGGATCTGTGATGAGACTATGGCACTGCTGGAGGCCCAGTGACTAATTCTATCCGGTTGCAACCACCCATCGCTAGGAGACTGGACCCTATCATGATGCGAGGGTTTGCGTAGGTTAGCAACCCAGTGAGCTGTATTGGAGTGTGATTACGCAACATCCACAGAATCCTGTCAGATTGGTCAATAGACTCAGCTCTGACAAACAGTCTTCTGGCCCTCCATGTTGGGGTTGGAACAGTTGTGTTAGCCTGTTCCCTAAAACTTAGACTACTGTGTTNACGGAAAATGCGTACATCCATCTTGGCCACGAAACGCCCATGAAACCCAAAAACCCAAATTTATCAGAGCCGCCTACACTTTCTGTCGGTTGGCAATAAATAGCATGTTATGTGTCACTCAAACGCTATACCCGAAGCTGTAGCAATTCCGAAAATTCAGAAGGGAGGTCCGGCCACACTCGTTCAAGGATTGGATCTGTGATGAGACTATGGCACTGCTGGAGGCCCAGTGACTAATTCTATCCGGTTGCAACCACCCATCGCTAGGAGACTGGACCCTATCATGATGCGAGGGTTTGCGTAGGTTAGCAACCCAGTGAGCTGTATTGGAGTGTGATTACGCAACATCCACAGAATCCTGTCAGATTGGTCAATAGACTCAGCTCTGACAAACAGTCTTCTGGCCCTCCATGTTGGGGTTGGAACAGTTGTGTTAGCCTGTTCCCTAAAACTTAGACTACTGTGTTAGTATTACGCCAGATATCACCGCCTTCTGATCAGGTGTTTGAATCAAAGATTTTTGTTTGGAGTCCATACTCACTGTTCTACATAAGTGTGAGCACCATGAGAATATTTAGGCCCGCATAACCATAAATTGCGCAAAACATGTACCTTTATGTGGCAGTTAAGCACTATTATTTATTACCGGTGTATTGCGGCCGATGATGGCGATGGGGTGATGATACGATGCTCGGGCCATCGTTCTAGGGAGCACCGTGACTGTGATTAAGAGTTTCGCATAAATCAGTGCTCTCTTCTGAGTTTACCACATCAAGTGGTGTCAGACAGGGCTGTCCTCTCCCACCTTTCCTCTGCAACTTCGTCGGATAAGATCATCTAATATTCACTATCAGCCTTCAGTACATGTGGGGTCGAAATGCTCCCGGGACGTCCGCTGACATACCGAGTACGCAGAGAACAGTTCTTATAATTGACGCTGTCCTCTTCCACCTTTCCTCTGCAACTTCGTCAGATAAGATCATCTAAGATTCACTATCAGCCTTCAGTACTTGTGGGGTCGAAATGCTCTCGGGACGTCCGCTGACATATCGAGTACGCAGACAACAGCTCTTATAACTGACGACGTCGTACTGTAAACAATATTAAATAATTTACATAATTCTGCCTCACGGTTTGGCATGCGCTTCACATCGGCAAAGTGTAAAGTGCTGCTCCAAGACTGAGTGGGCTCGGAACCTAACCTCATGCCTGCCGATGGCCTAACTGAGCTAGTAGGTAAGTTTGTTTACCTGGGTGGCTGTATCAGTCCCGGTGGTCTCCTGAAAGATAGTATTTCTCTGCGGATTGGGAAGGCCAGATCAGGCCCCTCCCCACGCCATACCGGACAAGCAAACAGGACGTCAATTGAGTGGTTGGGCTATTGCCTCCAACGCGTTGTTCTCGTTCCCATATTCTCCTTACTGTGTAGATGTAGTATCTGGGCGAAACGGCTCATTAGTTAGGGCGCGAATTTACTGAGCGAAAGGTCCGTGGTTCAAACCAGACCTATGCCACTCGACCTCTGTCTAGGCGTGGTCAACCTTGCAGTATCCCAACCCTGTTGCTTCCTGGTTGTATGGCAGTTGGGCACCGAAATGGTGCTACAGCTGAATGATTTTTTCGTAGTATCTGAAACCACTGCACCTCGGCGTACGGTAGGAACGAGGAGTGTGGGAGATGTCAAACAGCCAGGAAGTCCAAGAAAGTTGACAAAAAATTTCGGTCGGATGTTATCTTACGTTACTTCAAGAAAAGTCCAAATAAAGATGTAAGGCCCAAGAGTGTTCAGTTCCGTATTTCACGACGTCCTGAATTCCGAAAGAGCAAACCCTGCGTCATTTTGTCGCTATGCATCTGTAAGAACTTGGGATACCGACCATCCTTTAGAATTCTATGAATAGGTCGACGAATGTTCGACGACGAGACTGGCTTTTATTTAAGTGGAATGGCATCGTTTCCACGTCTGTTTTACACGACGTCCCGGACAACTATCCGGACGTCTATTCCAGTTTCGCTAAAAACCGATAACCTGGGCTGAAATCTTGAGTACTCGGTCTCCACGACCCTTTTGACGGAAAGGCAACAGCTCCGTGACATCTACCTTACTCCACTATCCTAGGAAGACGTATTTTCAGACGTCTCAGGGGTTCCTTATGTGATTTCTTGAAGCTGTTCTACCTCGAGGACAGGTTTTACTCTTCCATCAGGACGGTGCTTTCCACAATTGCTCGAGTTGTACGAGAAAGTCGCGAATGTGAATTTGAAACTATTTGTACAAACCGCATCTTCACGCAGTTTCTAAAGCACTCCATAATCAATGCGGTGAAGCGAACTATGGAGGGTCATAAAACGTCATCGATATCATGGACAGCAACACCAAGTGAGAACATTGTCGCATCGGCTGAAACGAACTCTGGAGGGTCATGAAACGTCATCGTTATCATGGACAGCAACACCAGGTGAGAACATTGTCGCATCGGTGGTTAGAGCGCGAATTTAATGACCGGAAGGTCCGTGGTTCGAACCTGATCTCCGTCTCACGACTTTCCCTGTCTAGGCTTGGGAAACCTGGGAATATCCCAGCCCTCGTGCTTCCTTCGGGTGGCGTAGCAGCTGTAACACAAGTGTTACAGCTGAACGATTATCTTTATCTTTTTTATTTATTGTCGCTTCATTGCTTTGCAAATCTTTCATAATGGAAGAAAATGGAGTGGTGGAGGACGTAGGGCTAACCCACAATGAACGTCCGAGGTGCCCAAACTCTCAACACTCAGTCATAGAATCTGGATACGGATCGACAGCAGGGATGTTGCTGACATCAGTCAGCTGCCATGTTGTTTATTGTCTCCAACAAAGCACAGGGAGAGTCATTTGGACCCCATCCTGGAAGGTGAACAGCATCCGAACTTCTCGTAATATCCTTTATTCCATGCCAGATTCTGTCCATCTATAAGTTTCCGTCTCTCCAGTTTACACGCGAAAAACCGCTTGTCTAGGAGGGTGGAAGCTTGATATACGTAACCCATTGTCAGGCACCTTAGCTTGCAATGCCGGATGCATTCTTTGAAAAGAGTATCGTCTGCTTCACCAAAAATCCGTCTTTTGGTAACCTCATTGTGGATTCGCTAATTCCAGCCTATTCCAGCTCCAGTTCTGAGACATCAGTGTTCGAAGACCTGAAGATGTCTCAAACTCTCCGCCCCGATTGCCCGAGTCTCACAGTCCTACAACAAACAGCCCGAACTGTAGGTTAATATATGCGCTTTGAGACCCAGAGTTGTGCTTCTTTTGGTACCACAAGTGGCGAAAGTCCGTGAAAGCAATGCTGGCCGTTGAGATTCGTGCGTTGACTGTCGCTACAGTTGATAAAAATTTCGAGGTGCTTATAGCCCTCCACAACTTCCAATGTTATTCCTTGAATTCTCAGAGGCATGTCACAGACTGCGTGGGTGGGATAGCTCAATGGTTACAGCGCGAAATTACTGACCGGAAGGTCCGTGGTTCGAATCCGACCTCTACCTCTCGACTTCCCCTGTCTAGGCTTGGACAACGTGACATCAGTGTTCAACACCGATGCTTCACTGCCGTACAACCATGATTTATTTGAAAGCCTTATTGTAAAGAAAAGGGTGAAGGTGGACGGGGAAGGGAAGGACGCTTAACCAGAAATCAAATTATGGATTTTGACTGCCACCTAGTTTATCCACAAATGATCACTATCCTCCAAGTGCACAACAACGAGCTTATAGTGCACCTAACCAACTGGGTATAACAGCAACTCCGAGGCCCGAGAGGCCTTTCACTCAGCAGAAACTGATCGATGCTGCATCTGCACTCGATCGCGCCGGCCAAGCATTCATTAACATTGAGTTTTACCCAAAAAACCTGTCCTGCAGGTCATGCCCTTTGTTTTAGAGAAACGGTAGAATCCCAGTATGCTCAAATTTGACGTCATCGGGATGTCAGTAAACCTAGTTTGAGATGCGAAGTTCAAGTACACGTGAGTGTACACTGTGTACAGTACAGTACAGTACACAGTACGATCTATGGTTCTGAGACAACGACTGTCGAACACCTGAGGACATCTCAGTTCCGCTTCTCGAATGGTCCAAGTCTTACAGCCATACGAAAAGACAGCTGCACTGTAGCTTGATACACACGTCCCTTGAGATTCAGGGATACACCACTTAGGTGGTGTATCTCAAATTCGCAAACGCAACCCGAGCCTTGCAGATTCGTGCATTGACCTCATCCGTCACACTACAGTTGGAACTAATACAACTTCTAAGATACGTAAAACGCCCACAACTTTGAGTGCTTCCCCATGGATTGTAAGTGGCGTGTTCAGTGACTGCATGTCCATTAGCATGACCTTACACTTTGTGTGTGCGAAATGCATACCAAAAGACGGGATGACTTTAGTCCGTTCATCCAAAAACACTTGCGCCTTCTACTCCTCTTCGAAGATGGGAATGATATGGCCTACGTATCCCAGATCGACAAGGCTTTCGTCACAGTCTATTTGAACACCGGGGTTTTTGGAACTTTCTAGTGTTTGTCTCATGATTTCATCGATCACAAAGTTAAAAAGGAATAGGGAGAGTGGGCATCCCTGACGAACACCGCTTTGTGTACGGGTGCTTTTGGAGAGCTCTCCGTCTGGAAGTCTGAGAATACAAAGAACGTATTATGTTTAAAAACTTCCTGGGCATTCCTTGTTGGGCAAGCGTCTCAAGCAGAACAGACGGATCAACGGAGTTGAATGCGCCTCGGAAATCCAGGAATACTAGAATTGTGGGTCCCTTATACGTATGGCGTTGTTCTAGCACCTGGCGAAGTGTGGAGATTTGGTCAACATAACCCTTACCAGGCCGAAATCCCGCTTGTTGCTCACAAGCCACCGTAAGGCTACGAAGCACAGTTAACGCCAACAGTTTCGTTGCGACCGAAGTCAAGCTGATCCCCCTGTGGTTATCACACTCACTACGCGCCCCTTTTTTGAAAACGGTACTGTCACCGATCCTTCCTAGTTGTCTTGAACAGACTCCGTTTCCCAAATGCAAGCAAACAGATCGGACAAGCGCTGACTGAGGACTTTACTCCATCTGTGAACAATGCGGATGGGAGGTCATCCGGACCAGGAGTTCGATGGCGCTTGAGAGAACATCTGCAGTCGTAAACCTCCGAGACCGTAGGTGGTTCCACGTTCACCGTCCTGGGTGTTACTTCACCTGTGAGCTCTACATGAGTGCCAGCTGGTGGTCACGTCTGTCGTTCGAAATATTCGGCCCACCGGTCGAGGCGTTCTTTACTCGAGTTGGTCGTTCCATTCTGATGTTTGATGGTTTCGCTCACAGGTGG